AAATGTATAAGATTCGAGAATGAGAAGATATGAAAGAAGAAAGTTTGGGAATGATTAATGGATATTTATCTTGCATTACAGGACCAATTTCCTAAATTAATATTTAAGAAATAATTCTTTAATAAAAATTTTTTTTTTCTTAAAAAATTAATAAAATTGAGGTTTACCTGAACAAGAGGCGGCAGAGGATGTGGTACCTATGTAACAAAAAATATATTAATATGAATAATTAATTTTACGTACATACCGTTAATGTAAAAGGAATATTTTTTTTAGAAAACTTAAAAATTCACACCTCAAGACCAAAAAAAGTGTTAACCAAGAATAGGGAACTTTTTATTCTTTCAAAAGGATTATGAACAGGTTTAATTCCAACAGTAGACCTTAACCCATTTAATTCTTCAATAGATGATAACATTTCAGTAATTGATCTGATAGGTTCGATAATCGCACACCTAAACCTGTTAATGAACGACTCATTTTCCATATTAACAGGACAGTTATACCAAACTTCCGATTTATAAGGTATAAATGGCGTTCCTATATATTGATTGATATTATGCAAACAAGTTAGTAATTAAAAAATATATATATATAACCAAATTATATGAATTTTAAAGTACACTATATACCTAACATTAGAGAACTAAATCCTACGATAGGTTTTTTCAATGACCAAGCAATATCCAAACAAATATCATTCATCATAAAAACGTTACAAAAAAATAAATCTGGTTTAATCATCTTGATTGCAAGTTGATATGTTTCAAAATAATCTAAATATTTTTTAACTAATAATTTACGCAAGCCAGAAATTTGTTTACGATTGAATGTTTTATGATATAATTCTTGATAAGTGGCTTCAGATTCTATTGAAGGACCGGTTGAAATTTGTTTAATTGTTGGATACTCTGATGATGGTAATAAATCACCGGGAGCTATTAATGTTACCTTTGATTTATAAGATAAAAGAGATAAAAGAGATAAGGGATTTGAAGTAAAATGAAAGAAAAAAAGTTGTTTTTTTTTTTTTTTTGGTTGTTGGGCTTACATTGTATCCACGCTCAACTAATATTTTACAAATTTCTAACATTGGACGAATTTGATTCCATTCTATTTATCGAAATTTTTCAAGTGAATTAAATGAATGATAATTGAATGAATGATAATTGAATGAATGATAATTGAATGAATGAATGAATGAATGAATGAATTGAGACATTTTTGAAATAATTTACCTCCAAAAAAACTTCCAACAAATATTTGTTTAGGTACGCCAGTACGGTCAATGTCTAAGGGACGTTTTTCTAGCTGAGGCGCAGCATTTTTATTCTCGGTAACGCAAGTTCCACCATTGAGACAATAAATACATATGACAATTAACAAGATATGACCAGTATATTTCAGAAATATCATTTATTATTTGTTTTTTTTTTTTTTTTTTTTTTTAAGTTTTTTTTTTTTTTTTTTTATTACAAATGAATAAGGACATGAAAAAAAGAAAAAATTAACAAGAAAAAACGAAGAATTTATGAATGTGTTTTTTATCTTTGCCAATGCTCCCAAACCGAAAATTCCTTTTTATAAGCGATGCAAAGACAAGTTTTGGATAGGTGTACGAAACATCTTATAAAGGCATGTATGTGCGTACGTAAACATACGTGCACTTCCGAAAAAGTTGGCAAGGTGTAATACAGTCGGTTTCATTTTTGAACCAAATGTAAATATGTAGGTACGTACTTGCATATTAAGTGTTGAAATTCTCGTGAAACTACAGAAAGAAACTAAGAAACTACAATTTCAACTTACCAACGCGAGAGAGCTACGTACGTACGTGCCAGTTCCGATTTACCTGCTATTATAATTATATATTGCCAAATTTACATAAGAAACTTAGCATTTAGCATGTATGCATAAACAATATACGTAGAACAATATCCTTTTGTAATCTCGGGTTTCTTTAACTCCGAATTAGTGGTTTAATAAATTTATTTCCAATTAAGACTTATCAATATTATTCAAACCTGTAATAAATATTTAAATTGGAAAAAAAAATGGTTTGCACAAAAAAATTTTTAAGTTCCGTTATAATATTCCATAACTTTATATATAAAAAAAAAAATTGCGCTAAATGGCGATTTAAAAAAAAATAGTTATGGATAATATAACAACGAAAAAACTATATATGTAATATATAAAGTATATAGCAATATACTAGGATAAAATTTTATAACAACCAACTTGCGGAAATGTCACTCTAAAAAAAAAGATTTTGTTAAGAATTGCAATGCAAAAATGAAAAATTTTCTCTAGTACTATTAAAGTACTATTGGTATAGTTTTTTCTTATGTCAATTCAAATTTGACGTAAGATAATTCTAAAGATTCTAATGTACATATGAGGCATCACTGAAAAAAAGATACCTAGTTTTCTAAAAAGAAAAATAAACTTGTGCCATAGGAAGAGTTTGTTTTTTTTTTTTTTTAAAAAAAAAAAAAAAAGATTATTTATAATGTAAAACATATATATTCTATAAAATCTTCCAAGTGACCAAAGTTCATCAAATATATAACTATTAGATCTAATATTTATCACTTTTATTCAGCATATCCTTGCCTAGTCACTAAACCCAAACTATGTAGTAATGTCAATTCAAAGAAAAAAAAAAAGTTTGGGTCGCGACCCTAGTTCCGGCGTAATCTTTACAAGAAACACCAATGCGATGCGACTAACAACCATTACACGAATGATTGCTGGTTAAATGCAGGAATATATAAACCAAATATAAAATAAGTGCAAGACTCTATATATTCGGAAATCCTGCAATTGCGACAAATGTGCGGCATCTTGTTAGCGAGCAATTATCTTGATCTGATCACAGTTATTGAGAGAGTACTGGTACGTCAGTATATTTAGGATTTTGTCGGCGGTATTGAATAAATCCATGATGTGCTAACAAGATGACTTTAAGAAAAAAAATTTTAGTTTTTTTTTTAATACAATTTTGTTTAATGAGAGTTATGTTAACATTTTTTTTTTTTTTATAATATTTAATTTTGATAAAAGTTAAGGAACGGGATCAACAATGGGAATTCTTGGCTTTTAAATATTTTGTCAGATGTTCTAACATAAATATGGGAAATAATAATATCATTATTATTATTATTTATTATCAGATGTTCGAACATCTGTGGTTTGGGCTGTGACCAAAAATTTTTTTATTTCTTAGCTAAAATTCTAGAAATCGTGTTCGATACATGAACATTATACATTTGTAATACAGGTCACTTACCAAAAAAAAAAAACATATATATACATATCACATCTGTGAAAGTTTCAAAATGATATGCGTGTCATGAGAGAAATAGCATGATTTTCGTTTTTGGTAGCTTCAAATATGTGAGGTGGGTCAAGTTGATGTTTATTATTATTATTATTTTGTTTTATCGACACGAAATTTTTGAGTGATACACGGAAACATCCTTATTTTATCGCCTTTTGTAGACAAAAGATTATTTGAAACGCGAAAAAAATGTTTAAATGATGAATAGAGGCTTGGAATATAAAGTAACACGAGATAGGATAATGAGGTGAGTTGTCAAGGCTTTGTTGGTGGACTGATTTTCTCTTGAACATTTTTTTTTTTTTTTTTTCTTTCGAACTGTGAATTAACATGGCTGAGAAATAAATTATTTCGAATCTGTTTTTTACTGAATTTGTCATTTGTAAATATATCATGAGTAGGCTTATCTTTTCAACACGTCCAATTAAATTTTTAAATGCTCAACACTTTGCCACATCTTGAACATGGAGCCCGCTCTATAGGCTCGTGGTAGACCCTTGCTTCGAATTTTAGATCGACTAATTCCCACATCACACAGCCATGAAATATTGTCTAAAAAGCCCACTGGGCTTTGTTTGTGATCAAGAATAAGTAAAGATTTTAATGATCCCGTCGAGACTAGACAACGACCGGATCGAATTGTCTGCCCAAAAGCGAGAATGTGACCACAATTTTGGGTTGATGATTGGCTTAAACACGTTAAACATGCTAATTATTAATTAAGAAAATCAATTACGCGTTTTATGAATCAAAATGTTATAAAGTATCATGACAATAGATTTGTTTTAAAAAATATTTATCTTAAAAACATTGGAATTTATTTATTATGTTTATAAAGATATATTAAGTGTGTTTCTGTTGAATTATGATAATCTTTTTTTTAAAAAATAAAATAAAATAAAATAAAATAAATTCATCATTGATTCATTTTTTTGTTTCATAATAGTTATCTACAGTATAAATTTGTTTAAAAATATCTTTTAGTAATTCCTAATAAAGTTGGAACTGATCCATTAACTCTATACCATCATAACGGTTCTTTTTTGGACATCTTTGAATTAGTTTGAATTAGTGGCTGCATTCCTATGGCTCGGACCAGTCTATGAAACCCTGGGTTTGTATACAAAGTTTTCCAGAAAAGGGTTTAATAATTAAACCTTGATGATATTTCCTTATTTGACTCAACCGCAAATCCACGTTCCATGTGTTGACAGTCGCCAAGATCGTGTACTTTTACCAGGCTAACAGTGCAAACATTAAGCCAAGCTCAACATTCTCGCTCTTTTGTTTTAAAAATAATAAAAAAAAAAATTTACCTTTTGTTGCACGAACAAAGCCTTCTTACTTTTTATTTTACTCTGACTTGACCTTTTTTAATGTTAAACAACAAATCAATAATTATCTTTTTTGTCACATACAATCATCTAAACAGATATTCCCAGCCTTCAGCCAAGCCTTTATATAAACTAATTTATATACATTTGTTATTTGATTTTTGATTTATTATTTACTATTTTTTTTTTTTGTTGATCAACTCTACGCGGTGGCTTTACATTAACGGTTTTTTTTTTTTTTTTTAGAGTCTTGAATCATTCTTGGATTTATCTTTTAACATCGGATTATCTTATCGACGAGGAAAAAAAGAAAAATCTTAAAAGTGATATTTGTATCTAATCAGTATTTTTTTTTTTTTTTTGCAATCAAAAATATAAAAACGGAAAAAATCTATTTTACGTGGCTGCGCATATATATTCCAAAACAATCCTTTTGACGTGTCGGGTACAATGTACATGTCATAAATAATTTAAGGTTTTCAAGTGTCACAAGGCGAATAATTTAGATAAATATTTGTTAAATTTATAAATTAGGCAACAAAAAAAAAGCTTTTTTTTTTGAATGTCACACATTTGAAAAACATCTTACTCTGTTTATTAAAATATATACTTGGCATTAATGCGTAAAAATTAATTTTTTACTCCTAAAAAAATAAAATAAAATAAAATAAAGAAAAAAAAAAAATTCGAAAAAAAGAAAAATTCAGTTACATACAGGTTTCCTATGTATCACTGCGCCTA